AAAGGCAAAATCAAAACCGCGTTTGCCTAATTAGTTTGTTTATTTGAATCAATTCAATTCATTTTACGTTCCGCATGCACGATTTACTAAATACAACTAAATAGAACTGTTTAATTAGTTTGTACAGTTGCACGGATTAAGTGCGATCACTCTACAATTGCATGGTTTAATCAATATTTTGTACAATTTTATGACAATTCTTTTGTTTTCTTTTGTTCAACTATCACTATTTTCACAATTTAGTAATTAGTGTTTCACGCTTAGAGTAAAAGCATTCAATTTTACGTCTTACGATTAACACGTTTCACGGCTCACGGTTAACCCCACTGAGACACTATTATAACCGTCTTTTATCTGTATATTCCAGACAATTTGCTGACAGCTTCAAAGATCATGCACAGGTTTTCTTTCCAAGCCATACGAAATGGTACCTTTTCAGTGGACAGCTTCTTCTTCTTAAGGTAACTCCTCACTGATACAAAACCTAATTGATAGGCAAATTAATTTGTTTGCGTATTTCCCTCAACGAGTCAACGGGCGAAGCGTCTATACCACCATTACCGTCAAAACGAAGCTTGTGATTGATCGAGACAACAAAAACAAAGAATTTACACGTCAGACCTGTCCTTAAGAAGTCAGCACTGGACCTTGAGCTGTTAAAGAACTATCGGCCCATCTCAAATTTACCATTTAGAGTGCACGTCACATAAATAAGATTTAGTTATCAACTAACTAAGAATTCAACAAAGCATAAACACAATGACAATTATTTAAATTCCTTTGYAGCATTGTTCTCAATTCTTAGTTAGTTGATAACTAAATCTTATTTAGCACTACATAGTTAAGAATTGTTTCATGCTTATGTGACTTGCACTCTATAGCTAAATACTGCGAAAAAGTTGTTCCTCATCAATTTAATCATTGTCTTGATGTTAACCATGCACCTTTCTAATCAGCCTATAAGCGCCATCATAGTACTGAAACGGCCTTACTCAGAGTTCAGAATGACATTTTACGATCTATAGATAAGAACATTATGTCATGCTACTACTGTTAGACTTTTCAGCAGCCTTTGACACCGTTGATCATCACATACTCCTCTGCAGAGGTCTTTTAAAATGCTTTGGAATCAAACGCCAGGCCCTTGCATGGTTTAAATCTTATCTCTGTAATCGCACACAGTTTGTCGGCATTGAACTTAGCCKCTCAACACGCATGTCGTCCCCTGAGCTGTGGAGTACCACAAGGTTCGGTGCTCGGGCCTATCCTCTATCTGCTTTACGTATATCATTCGACCCCCCCTCTGTATCTTGGAACCAATATGTCTATGACCATGAAATTTTCACATAATGATTACCCAAGTACAACAAACCATCACGCCCAGTCTTGACCCATGGGAACTAAATGTGACGTCATAATGACGTCATTTGCATCATTTTAACGATTTATAATGCATTTTAATAAAATGTCTACAATGCAATAGAAAATGCTGCAATATAATCTCTTTATTATTGAAATGACTTAGAAATAATAATTTTTGGTTATTTAATTGCCCCCCCCCCGTTTCATATGACGTCACAATACGTCATAGATAATTTTTATAAATGATATATCTACCTGTTGTTATAGTTCGTTTTGTATCCATGGTAACAAGGTGTGACGTCATAATTGTGACTTTAATACTAGTTTCAAGAGTAAGCTTAAGACTTACGTTTTTAATAGGCTTTTATTACTTTGTATTTCCGTGAATATAAGCGTCAAATTCGACGAAAAGAGGCTAGATTTTTCTTTACATTTCTGTGAAGTTTTAGGCCATTTCCTTCAATTTATTGAGCGATTTATATGATTTTGATTATTCTTATGAAGCCGGCTATTGAAGTAAAAGATATTGTTGAAGAGTTCCAGCGTTTCCGAGAGCAAAATCCCGATATATCTTTTTAAACTGAGCTTTTTGCTTTTCTAATTACCGATAAGCCCAAAATTAAAAAGCACAGGGATCCCGCACATTTCTTTGATTTAAGTGTCGTGATGTCCCGCCATGCTTTATGATATTGTTTTTTATACATATTGATTTTTTCCCTAATGTTAGTGGTCTTCTGGTAAGCTACATTGGACTTAGACGAATGGGCAAGAACAATGGAAGACTTCCTCTACTTCACTTCTATTTACATCGATATTGGAGGTACAAAGTTTTAAAACTAGCTTTGGATATCCCTGCCCTGCACTAAATACATTGTACAAGCTTGACTGCCAAAAACAAAAAAAGCAACAAACAAACAAACAATTAAACAAACAAACAAACAAAACAACGAAAACAATAATAAAAAAAAACATTTCACAAATCCTCATTATGGACGACATTTTATTACATGATTATATAGTTGCTGGCAATAAACCGACCTGTTTCTCTTGTCTTT